TAAAATGTCACCATAGTGCTGCTCCCAGCACAGCCCCAGCTCTTCCCAGTGTGTTGAGGGGGGCAGGGGTTGAGCTGCGAAGAGCCAGGGCTGCACCAGGTGCATGGTGGTGGCAGCACTGGGGGGGAGCTATGGCGAAATATGGGGTGGCTGCAGCCTGAGTTCCCCGTAGCCCCTGCCCCGAGCCCAGCCCCCGGCAAGAAGAGCCCTGTGCAGCCACAGCTCCAGCCCATAACTGCAGCCTGCTTGCCTTGCCCTGCGCAGATCCAGGGGCACCCCCTGCCCCCACACTCCACTTAACATGGTGGGGGAAAAGGTCCCTCATCTTGGAATAGAGTATGAAGCAGTGTGGGGCAGCTGTTCTAGTGCCTGCCCCCTGCAACCTCTGTACCCACCCCCACCCCAAACCTTCCATGCAGTCACAGGCCCCCATCACCCCATCTTCCCCTCCTCACCTTGTGCCACTTCTCTCCTACCATACTCCCTTTACCTTTGCTCTGATGCTAGCAGGATTCAGCCCTGCTGCAGCCTGGAGCACAGAGCATGGCTCTAGCCTGGCCCTGTAGCAATGGTGCCAGCTCCATACTGCTGCTCTGGGGCTGGATTAGGGCCATGCTGTGTGGTCCAGGCTGCAGCAGGGGTGAAGCCTCCCCAGGAGACTCCCCAGGTGACCAGGGAGCCAGCAAACAGGGACTGCAAACAGAGGAAGTAGTTTGCAGGCAGTTTGCAAGCCAGTTCATGGTTAGAAGCATTGCCTATTACCATACAATGGTAGGAACACATCATACTCCGCAGTTTCCCACCTCAGCCCCAGCTGGTGCTCCTTTCCCTTGCACCACCGAGGCCTCCACCCAGACAGAAACCATGGTTCTGGCCTCCACCCAGATGGAGCCCCTGGCTCCAGGCTGTGGGGGCTGCCTGGCATGGCTGCCAGCAACTGGGAATGGGAGCAAGGTCACCCCCACCTGTGGGGTATGCTCCTTAGTGAGGTCCCTGGAGTCCTAGGTGACTGAGTCCCAGGCCTAGGTAAGCAGATTTCATGCCATCAGGGCCCACAAGCAGAAGCCTACTACAATCAGGCTTTTCTCTTGAAGAACGAAGAGAGAAGAGCATGGATGCCCAACTATGAGAAGATGGACAACAGGAAGGTCAACCAGGAGCTGCACCCAGGGGATGCTCGGAAGATGGTCATCTTGGGTCCCAAAACATGAAGTACCAGGTCACTCCTCCCTTGGAACTCTCACACCACTGGCTCTGGATGAGGGGAATCGGCTAGCTGCTACCCCTAAGAAGAGGTGCAGGGTGGTCATGGTGGGTGACTCCCTCCTGAGAGGGACAGAGGGAGTGATCTGCCCCTCTGACCCCCTGGCCCATGAGGTCTGCTGCCTCCCAGGGGCCCGTATCTGGGATGTGGCAGAAAGGATTCCTGAACTCGTCTAGCCCTCTGACCACTACCCCATATTCCTCATCCACGTGGGCACGAATGACATGGCTCAGAGCAATCCTGGCTGGGTCATAAGTGACTACAGGGCTCTGGGGGCTGGGCCTAAGGGGTTGGGAACACAGGTAGTTTTCTCCTCTGTCCTGGTTGCGAGCCACGGGCCTAGGAGAGACTGATGTATCAAAGAGGTGAACTGGAGGCTCCGGCGCTGGTGCTACCGAGAGGGTTTTGGCTTCCTGGACCACAACACGCACTTCAGAGACAGAGGTCTTCTGGGAAGGGATGGTATCCACCTTGTGTCGAAGGGGAAGGCTCTTTTCTTGGCCAGGATAACGGACCTCCTCGACAGAGCTTTAAACTAAGATCACGGGGCGGGGGGGGACGGGGGACACAACAAGCGGAGCAAGCCCAGGGTCCAACAGACAAACAACCATTATGACAGGAAGGACACTACAGCACGAGCTGAGGGAATGGAGCTCCCTCAATGTGACAGGAAACTGAGGACCTTCAGTGGAGGGCTCAAGTGCCTGTACACACATGCCAGGAGCATGGGGAACAAACAGGAGGAACTGGCCCTGGAGACCTTCAAAAGGAGACTGGATGCACACCTTGTTGAAGTTATTTGACCCCACCAGTCTTTCCTGCCTAGAGCATGAGGGCTGGACCTGATGATCTCACAAGGTCTCTTCCAGTGCTAAATTTCTGTGAATCTGTAAAGCCTGCTAGTGCTGAAGCAAAGGAAGCAGGAGGTAGAGGGGCAGGTTAGGGATAAAGACCCTGAGGTGGGGAGGAAGGATGGCAGGGACCTGAGGCTGCAAGGGGGCAGAAGCAGCATGGGGAGGGAGGGGGGAAGCTTCAGGGGACAGGCACAAGGGGGAGTAAGTTGAGGGCCAAGCTGCCTGCCTCCCCCACTGCCTCTGCACTGCCCCACCCACTGCTCCCCCCGCCGCTGCCCTATTACTGCCCCCCTAATGTGTGTCCCCACTGCCTCACCCACTGTCTGCAGTAGTGGGGGGGAGGGGGGCACAAATATAAGATTCTCTTCCAATAATTAGGTTCTATACGGAAAATTCTATACATGGAAAATGTATAAATTCATTATAATCTAAATATTAAAGGGTTGTCTTAAATTCCAGGGTCATCTTGGATTCAAGTAAATATGGTAACTGAGTTTGAGTGGGGGAAAGAGGAATGGTGGTCAGCTCCAGGGTAGGGCAGGCATCTGGTGCCTGGGGAGTATAGTTGTTACCTCTCAGCCTGGTCATGGACAGAACTGCTCCCTGCACCACAGCATAAAAGTCTTCCAGATACTCCACTAGGGCTCCAAAGTGCCCCTCACTGCCCTTTATGCATTGCCTCTATCACCTCAGATGCCCCCTGGCTTCACTTTGTCCCGGTATCCCACATATCCCTCATGCTTGCCCCATTAGGCCGCACCACGCCCCTCAGACCCAACTGAGTCTGACCGTACCCCTCGCTGCTGCTATGAACCCACTGTATCCTGCACAGACTCATCCCTGTGACTCCTTACCTCCCACTGAGCCCTTCCATGATGCTCTGAGCCCCAAACCTCATTGCAGTTCTTCATACCCCCAGGCCCCCTTGCCCATAATCTCTGTTGCTCACAACCCCCCTCACAACCCATTTCAGTCCCAGGCCCCTATCAGCCCCCTCAGTCCCAGGCCCTCCTCATCCCACATCTCTCTACCCTACTGGTTCCCCTTCCCCCCAGAAGGCCCCTTGGTGCCCACCAGCCCTCACCCAGTCCTTCATGGCCACCAGGAGCCCGTTCCCCTTCCAAACAGTTCCCCTGCCCCTCATGGCCCTGGCCCATAGGACAGGATAGCTTGATTAATAGAAAATTAAGGGTTGTTACCATATTTCCCCAAATCCAAAACAACTTCCAATTTAAGATTACGCCCCCCCAATAATTGAATTTTATGCCTGGAAAACTATAATGAATTTACATATTTATAACTTCCTGTGTATAGAATCTAATTATTGGTGGGGGGTCACTTTAAAGTCCACATCCCCCTCACCTTCTCCACCACTGCTGCAGGGAAAGCAGTGGTGTGGGGAGAGGAGGGGGCAGGCTTCTTGCCCGTTGCCCACCCACCACTTGTGCTGCATATGCCTGCGCTCCTGGCCACTTGCCCTGCCCCTGCCTTCCCTTCCACCTGCTGCTACTTACCCTGCGCGGCAGCTCTGACTCCAGTTCCAGCCCAGCGCACAAAGCACACAGTGGCTTCAGCCCTGGCCCCAGCCTGGGGTAGATGGCACCTCTGGGTTGGGGCTGGAACCAGTCTCACAGCAGCTGCCTGCTCCAGTTCAGTACTTGAATCCAAGGCAGGCTTCCCACCCCATGTTAGATGTGGAAGAAAACTGCATTCTGGAAATACGGTAACACCTGTGGAGGCAAGAGATAAGCAGAAATTGAGTAGTTAATGAGCCGTGTAATCTGTTGGTTCCTTCAGCTCTGTATGTCACTTCCTGCTGGGCAGTTTATTCTAAATTTTTGTGGTGCAGGAATCAAAGTGGGGAGGGAGTGGGCTAGGGGGTGCAACTACACCACCAGAACTCCCTTTCCCATCCCTCCTAATCCACCCCAGGGAAGATATGGTTGAACCGAGTACCAAGTGTTTTCCAGTGACATGCTTGGGAGCTTAGACTGTGTTAGTATTTTAACTCTCAGACTTAATTCCAGCACACACAGGGCTTGGAAAAACACTGTTCAAAGATAAGTTAGAGCAGGGGTCAGCAACATGTTTAGCTAGAGTGCCAAAAACACCCTAACCCCCGCCTCAAGTTGGCATGCCAGGGGCAGACGCGAGGGGCCTGATCCTCATTGCTGGTGGTGGCTGCACATGTGCCTCTGAGTGAACAGCAGGGGAGGGGCCAGGGGCAGAGCAACCCCAGCCTCTCCCTTGCCATCGGCTTTTTGGTGCACGTGCAACCATTGTGGGCACAACACAGCCGGGGCTCTGGATCACAGTGCAGCTGTTTGTAGTTTCCTGGCTACAGCTGGCCTGCAGCAGAGCTTGCAGCTTTCTGGCTGCCTGCTGCAAGCAGCCTGGGAGTGGTGGTGTGCCAAGCAAAATGGTTTTGCATGCATGCCAGGGGTTTGCCAACCCCTGAGTTGGAGAAAGGAGAACTTCTAGATGGACAGTTCACTGCAGTGTCAAAATCCAAGCAGTGATTGGACCTTTAATTATGTGACACTTGCTTTCAGAGGACCTTTCCTTATATTAAGGTGCAAGTTGGATGGTGCATTGTTTAAAATTTCACTTCACATGGGAGTTCATTAAAAAATTAGTCATTACTTGGCCAGATTGAAGTCAACCTTTTATGGGTCCAGAAAGATGCTTCTTTTCCCTTGGGAACATATTTCTGCAAATTTTCAATTCTCACTGCAGGAGTCACTGCTGTGTTTTGGTTTGGGTTTGGGTTTGGGGTTCGGTTGGATTTGGTTTGTTTTTTTAAGGCAAGAACTCCCTGTATAACAGTAAGTGTCTCCTTTTCTTCTTTTACTCTCAAAAACAATATGAAGAGTGCCTGTTAATTTTTTTATTTTTTTTATTTTTTTTAAACCTTCCTTCCCACCCATTCCCCAAAACACCCCCATCATCTTCCCTTTGGTAGAAACCAGGTTTTTTTTTAAACCTAATCCTTACAAGTGCTAATTTTGAGCCACTGAAAAAGCTGGGTGATCATGGAAATACTTTGATGTCCTTTTAACTACAGGTTAACTCTATCTGCTCCTTGCTCCATAATGGGTGTGAGAAGTGCCAAATATTATCTGTTCCCTCTATGGATACATCTTTAGTACCACACAGCAGATTCCAGAAGTCAATGTCTCACCTCGAACCATCCATATTCCTGAAGTCAGCTCTTTATGGCATTTTGCTCAGCCTAGTTTTAATAACCCCCAGCAATAAGACTTCCTCCACTGCTTGTGGAAGAGAGCTCCACTGCCTTGTCTTCTGGAAGGCTTTCCTACTAGTCAGCTCAAATGTTCCCTTTCTAATTCTAGCTCATTACCCCTACTTATATTTCCATGTACCACGTGAAATAACTCCTCTCTTGCTTTGTTGTTCACCCTGTTGGGAAGCTGGACTATTCTGCTTTCATCACCATTATCTCTTTGTTAGCCGTTTGCTAAGCTAAACATTTTTGTCTCCCCGTCTCTTTGGGGGTCTTTGTTTCCCTTTCTTGAGCTTTTTCTAGTTGATATGTGTGTTTCCTAGTCCCCCAGTGAGGAAATAGTGGAGGAAGGTCACCGTAGACCTCTGAAACATTTCAGAAGGGTAATTTATACTGAGATGATTTGTCTCCCAAAGCCCAGATTGGATACCATGAGGAGATGAAAGAAACTGATAAGATCTTTTTTCTGTTTTGTTGAAAATGCAACTCTGTTTCCTTGCTCTCTGTTTCAGAGGTGGTAACAAAATACAGTAACTTCATTAACTTTCCTCTTTACCTGAATGGGAAACGCATCAACACCTTACAGGTAGGTTCAAGAGTCATTCTGAGTCAGAGCTTCGTGAAAGAAGGAGACTCGTAACTTTCTAGTGGTGTCAGAAGCGAGGAAATGGAGTAAAAAATAATGAATTCCTGTCCAATGAATGGGAATGGTAGGCCAAGGAACACCAATATTTGCAGATTGGGAGTTACTCCACAAAAGAAGATTAATCAGTGTTTGTCTTTCCAAGTCAAGTCTGCCTTCTGTTTTGGTATCACTTGTTTACATGCATTGGCTGTACCTCTTTTCTCAACATGTTTGCTGACATGCTAAATAATTCTTGTAGATCAGGGAATTGCAGTTTTCCTTAACAAAAGCTATGCGAGTGGGGTTATGTAGGAGACCAAACCAGGTGATCACAATGCTCCCTTCTACCTTTAAAATAAAAGTTCCCAGCACTGGACCCTAATCTGAACAGAATAAAGGAAGCTGCTGTGAGCAGCACACTACAGGGGTAAACTAGCATAGGGTTTGAAGGGCCGTGAGGCAGTTATTGCCCTAGTGGGAATGTTAAGTCTTCCTGCTCCCCTGCAGGCACTCTGGATGATGGACCCCAAGGACATCAGTGAATGGCAGCATGAGGAGTTCTATCGCTTTATAGCCCAGGCTCATGACAAGCCCCGCTATGTCCTGCATTACAAGACAGATGCTCCTCTCAACATCCGCAGCATTTTTTATGTGCCTGAGGTGGTGAGTCTGTCATTCTCTTCTCAGGGCATGTGCGGGACATCTCCTTCTGACAGGATAGAGTAGGCTGATGAGGTCACTGCAGGAGTGAAGTCCCTTTGTTGCTTTCCAACTTGGGCAAATGTTGTATCATGCACCTGGGACTGCAGGTTTGCTTGTTGGGTAACCAAAAGGTGTAGTACCTGGTGCCTAGAAGAGACAGCATCATCTTGCTGATGGTAGTCACTTGCTGAAGAAGAGTTATGATGAATTGACAATTTGTTCAGAGTAGATTTGGCTGAAGTAGACTTCATAGGGGAGAAACGCTCTCAGAGGAGGATTCCTTGCCTGTCCTCATTCAGGACTGTTTAGATTGGGATGTGGTCAACTGGCTCAACCTTAATACCGTATTCATTTGAATCCAAAATAACCCTGAATGTAAGAGGACCCCCCCCCCCAATAATTAGATTCAATGCATGGAACATTTATAAATTTTATAATTTTCCACGTAACTTTTGTACAGCAGGGAAAGCAGTAGTAAGGGTTTTTGGCAGACTGGGGGAAGCAGTAGGGGGCAGGCAGTGGTGGGGGCCAGGCAGCTTGCCTCCTGCCATCTGTTTCACCTACCCCTGCCCACCTTCCCTGCAGTCTCCCCCACATCCTGCTTCTGCCAACATGGAGCCAGCACTGCTGCTACAGAGCTGTGCTGTGCTCCAAACTGGAGTGGGGATGGAGCCTGCTGGCAAGGACCAAGGCTAAGTGGTTTCATAGTTAGTTTCATAGTTTGTAGGGTCGAAAGGGACCTGAGCAGATCATCAAGTCCGACCCCCTGCCATGGCAGGAAAGAGTACTGGGGGCAAACAACCCCAGCAAGGTGTTCATCTAGCCTCCTCTTAAAGACCCCCAGGGCAGGAGCCAGCACCACTTCTCTTGGAAGTTGTTTTCCAGATCCTAGCCGCCCTGACAGTGAAGTAGTGCCTCCTAATATCTAGTTTAAATCTATCCTCTGCCAGCTTGTGACCATTATTTCTTGTTACTCCTGGGAGTGCTCGGGGGAACAGGGACTCCCCCAATGCCTGCTGGTCCCCTCTGACTAGTTTGTAAATGGCCACTAGATCCCCCCTCAGCCTTCTCTTGTGGAGGCCGAACAGGTTCGGGTCTGAAGCTAATGAGGGGAGAAGCAGGGAGTACAGAGGTAATGGGGGTGCAGGCAGCAACTACAGCTCTGGTTCTGGCTCAAGCCTGGGGCCAAAGCCACTGCGCTGCCATCCCCCTTCACCCCCGGGTAATTGATTCTAAGACAAAGGGCTCCGCCCACTGTTAAATAGGGGGTAAAAACTTGTCTTGGAATCAAGTAAATATGGTACATATCAGTGGAGCATGATGCTTTCACATGATCCCCAGCTGGAGCCCTAAATAAAACCCCACTGGTTCTGTTGTATTACCTCATTCTTGCTTGCTTCTGCAGAAGCCATCTATGTTTGACGTCAGCAGGGAGCTGGGCTCTAGTGTTGCACTCTACAGTCGTAAAATTCTGATCCAAACCAAAGCTGAAGACATCCTGCCGAAATGGCTGCGTTTCCTCCGAGGTATGTGGCAGAGGCATGTTGTCACCTAGGGCAGCATGAATGGTGATGCAGGATAACATTTGCAGGGCCTCTGAGGAGAAGGGTAGTTAGCCAGGGCTGCCGCCTCTGTCCAGGTGTATGTTTGCCTTAAGTCGCTCACTGTCACCTTCCATATTCTAGGTGTTGTGGACAGTGAGGACATTCCCCTGAACCTCAGCAGGGAACTGCTCCAGGAAAGTGCCCTCATCAGGTGAGCACCCAGTGGGGCCTGTCCCTGTAACCCTGTTGGATTGTGAGGTTGTGTCAGTGCTCTCCTGTCTCTGGCTGGGTAGTGAGAGGTGTTGGGGGGTTGGGATTGCCTTTGTAGGTCTGGATCTGGCAGGCTGAGCTATGTTCTTCCCAGTAGTAAAACTGTTTATGTCTACACTAACACTGTGGCTAGTAAAGTGAGAAGCTTCAAATGATGTGATCCAGGAGGCATTTCTTAGCTAGACCTGATAGACAAAGTGTTATATTTGCTCTGCATCACCTAGCTTTCCTGGAGTGAGTTAACTTGTCTAAAACAGTTGGGAGGAGACTGATTAAGCCAAACTCATTAGCCACATGTCAGGGTTGCTGGGTTATCAGGGGTTACACTGCTTTGAAGTCTAAGAGAGTCCAGCAGTGTCAAGCCATCATGCTCTACCAGTGCTCTGGGAATTTGTAATTCACTGGTGCTTGGTCTGTTACCCTTCAGGGTGCATCACAAGGTTCCTGTAGTAATTTGGTCTTCAGAGTTTAGGGTTCATTTTCACTTCATTGTGTGGACTTAGTTGTTAGTGCCTAAGAGCAATTGATAGATCCTGGAAGTTTAGGATATGTTCTATGTTGTATAGTAACCAAAGTAAGTCTAAGTGGGGCAAAAAAGGTCTCTGTGTAATTGTTTAACCAGCCCCCTAAGCATGGCTTGATGTAGCCACATCCTTTCTGTATTTGGTGATGGAAGGTGTAGCAGTTCATTGCCTATACAGGTTTCTCTTGCTTTATGCTGTACATGTGTTCCTGGAAAACGGCACATAGCTCAAATTCACATAAAGGGAACCCACTTTACAATGTAACAAATAGGGATATGTTCCAAGACATTGACTGTACTGACCCCCAGACCCACTTCTACCATTTTTACAGGACAGTTTTGGTACTCGCCAAATTCAGAGGGCCCCTCACCAGCTTCTGCATGGTTCAAAATCTCCAGTTTTGTCTGCAGTGTTAATAAAGTTCTCTTGCACTTCATTGATGGACATGGGAGAGGGGTAGGATATAAGCTAGCGGGATGCTTAGAAGTCATAATGGAGATGGCAGCTACAGAAACACACGTCACAGACAACGAGCTGAGAGCACAGATCCATGCAGGAGACTATAATTTGGTGCGTGTCACTCCCACAATGCACCACACAATGACTGCAGGCTTCCGCCACACCGATCGCATAAGAGTGAATTTGCCTTGCATATAACGAATTTTTGGTATAAAAAGGGTCACTGCATAAGAGTGAATTTGCACATACAGAACCTGCATAAAGCAGGGGAAACCTGTAGGTAGGGCCCTAGTGGATTCACAGCGGAAGCGGGATGTGCTGTGGCTCCTTTAATCTTGCAGGTTCCCCACATGCTCCCCTCCGCTGTTGATTGGTGGAGGGGAGCCCCACTTATGGCTAGCTCCTAATTGGCAGGGAAGCGAAAACCACGGTTTTAAATATGGCCTCCTTGCTGCTGATTGTCTGAGGGTCCCTAGTGGCCCTGCTGCTTGCTGCTGACCAGTGAGGAGGCAAAAAAGGTGGCATGTTTAAAACCACACGCACAAGAGAACCTGCAAGATTAAAGGAGCCGCAATGCAGCCCACTTCTGTCATGAATTCGGTAGGGCCCTGTCTATAGGGATAATACACAAAACTCTTCACACACTGCAGTCTCCTGGGTCAAAGGGGAACCAACTCCACCTGGGAGTTTGAGTTACCACTCCTCCTTTCTGTATGTACCAGGATCTTTTCCTGCTGCAGATGAGTAGACACTGATTTTAGATCCCAGGTGTAAATGGGGTGAGGAAGGTTGGCTTTAGTCTGGCATTTCTCCTTTGGCTTTCTAAGCCAAATTTTGTGTAGCAAACGCATCACCAACATTGTATACAGGAAGGTGGGTGTTCACCCTAAACCTTAATAGTCTTAGTCTATTAACTGCCTTGATTCTACTTTAGGAAACTCCGAGATGTTTTGCAGAAGAGGCTCATCAAGTTTTTCATTGACCAGAGCAAGAAGGACCCTGAGAAATATGCCAAGTTCTTTGAAGACTATGGGCTGTTCATGAGAGAGGGGATTGTCACTATAGCAGAGCAGGATGTCAAGGCAAGTAGTATGCATGGTGCCCTTGTGTGCACTAGCTGATGTGAAAAATCAAGGGCTCCTTCCTGAGCTTGGGAAAAAGGCTCTGATACAAGGCCATGGTCCTCCCAGTTGCATGTATTGCTTTAGGCATGGCACCTTGGGAGTTGTACCAATCCTCCAAGATAATCTGCCCGTTCATGCCCTTAGGAAGGTAGGATATTGTGGACAGGTTGCTTACTGTAGTACTAATGCTATAGAAGCGCTCTCTAAAGAAGCCAACTTCTCTGTTTGAGCTATTTGAGGGAAGTTTCTACTCTGCCAAAGAACCTGTTGCTCCCAGATTTAATCTGTGTAGTCTGGCACAGCAGAAAACTTGTGCAGAAACCAGAGAGTGTTTTGGGATGTCCAATAGCCTCTTTCTGCCATCTGGGACATCATACATGTAATACGGTAAACTTCCCCCCCCAGGAGGACATAGGAAAACTTCTGCGTTATGAGTCCTCAGCACTGCCTGCAGGTCAGTTGACCAGCCTGCCAGACTACGCCAGCCGAATGAAGCCTGGGACGAGGAACATCTACTACCTGTGTGCACCCAACCGGCACCTGGCCAAGCACTCGCCATACTTCGAGGCCATGAAGAAAAAGGATATGGAGGTGGGTGAGCAATGTAGTGCGCCCTACCCAGAGACAACAGAGGAGCTGATCCTCACTGGTACAGCTCAGCATTACAAATTGCAGCCAGGGGTCCCCAGCTTCTGGTGCATTTTGCGCAGCTGCAAAGGACATAATCTGGGATATTTTGCTTTTGCCCCTTATTTGCATTTCAGTCCACACCTCCATTCCTTCTGCACTGATAGTACAATCTTTTGCCTCCCCTTGGGCTCTAGTATTGCAGTTGGGCTCGGGAGAGGATTCTCAGTGTTCTCTCCCTCTATTTAAATATGAAGGACAGTGTGAATCTCCCATGTTTACAGATTAGTACTGTTCAGAACTGGGGAAAAAGCTTGGCCTTCCTGCATTTCTCTGTTTAACATCACAAAAAATCCCCTCCATCTTTGGGTTGAGCTGTTCAAGGCATAAGTGTGAAGAGTGTCAGTGGCCAGGCAGGTTATGTACCCTGAAGTCTCAGTCAGTGTTACTTTCCATCAACCTTCCCCATGGCTTCGGGACTCCCAACTGGTGTTCTTTACAGTGCACTCCAGGCATAGCTACTCCTAGATCTTCCCTGACCAATGCTTATGCATATGGTTATGTTGAAGAGTGGGCTTGGGGAGCACGAGATGGCTGGGGGAAGCAGTGGGTCTGCTAGCATTTGTTTTGGTCTAATAAGGATAGTCCTGGTTCAGCCTGAGACACCACATTGTTAACTGTCCTTGGCATAGGTGCTGTTCTGCTACGAGCAGTTTGATGAGCTGACACTTTTGCACCTTCGGGAGTTTGACAAAAAGAAGCTCATCTCAGTGGAAACAGATATTGTTGTTGACCACTATAAGGAAGAGAAGTTTGAAGACAGTTGCCCAGGTACAGTGTCCCTTCTCCCAATCCACCTTGTGCACAGCCTTGAGCTCGGTATCCCTTTCCAGCTCACTGTCCCACAAGTGTCGACAAGGATGCCTTTCTCTCAGGGAAGCACTGCCTTCCCTCAACCAGTGAATAAACACACTAGTTTTTCTTCTGCCTTGCAATGTTCCCAGGCAGCTGTGGCAGTCCTGTCTCTCCTGATGGCAGCCATCTTGGTATGGCATCTCAGGGTTTGCAAACTGATCTCCAGGTCCTGCAAGTTCTTTGATGTTTCTCTACCTTCTCTGGGAAGCAGGGAGAGGGGACTGCAGTTCTTCCCCAGCTAGTGCTGCAAGCTTGCATTGTAAGACCTATTAGCCAGCCTGCACAGTCCTGCAGAGCTCGCTGGGCTGCTGAGGGTCAGAAAGGCTAATGGCCATAAGTGATAATTATATTTTCAGTTGCAGTACAAAGAACATGGAGTTAATTTCATTAAGAGGAGCATTGTAGTGTAGGCATACATTCTCTTTAAACCTGACATTATCCAGTCTACCTTGGTCCAAGTTGAACTTCAAACCCAGCCGCACTACAGACAGGACTTAAGCAAGTTAGTTTGATATAAAATGATGATAAATCGCATCATGGCTCAAGTCCATACTTTAGTTTGAAAACAAGCTTAATCTGAAAAGTGGATGTTCCTGGTCCCAGCGATGGTACTATGGAATGAGTCACTGGTGTTGGAATAAGCTGGCCCTTTTTTGTGCATGATATGTAACAGGGAATCTCAGCCCTGTTACTGGGAAAGGGCTGAAGAACAAGAAAAACCTGCAGGGCCCCTTTTAAGAAAAGGACTTTGGTGGCCTGGAGGGGCAGGGATTCAGAAGGCAGGAACCTGACTCCAAGGAGGGATAAGACTCTTAGCTCCCTGAGACTAACAGGAGAATAGTCTCTGATCCAGAGGCCACAAGAGCAAGAAAGAAGACTGGTACCTGTGGCAGTTTCTATGAGTATCCAATTGCCTAGCAATGGGCTTCACAGAAGCTGCACTCGAAGCCAAGAGTAAGGTGAAGGCTACCAACAGGCAGAGACTGCTTTAGGAGAAGCAGCTGACCCAGAACTGCAGACTCACCCCTGGCAGAGGTTTTAGATGGGTTAGTGGGAAATGCCTGTGCCAGGACTGACCACTATATATCAGCTTGCCTCCAAGGCAGGGTGAGTCACTCTGGCCCTGACTGTTGAAGAAAAAGGAATTCTCTTCTAAGATATAGGGAACTTAGCTTTGCAAGGAGAGAATTCTCTAGAAGGGGCAGGGAAGCCTCTACCTGCAGGCAAGTGTGCCCAGACAGATTAAGGTTTTTGTTGAGGACAAAAACCATTTTTGTTTGGACAAAAAGGAGGACAAAACCTCCTTTTTTGTTTATCCACTGGAGCTGACTTTGTTAGGGGTTTGTCTATAACAAATGGAGGCATTCAGGGCACCCTCAGCATGGCCTCCAAATCACCCCTTGCAGCCAGTGACCTGGATGCTTTGATCTTTAACCCTGCAAGGGCCAGGAGCCTAAAGAGGCTGGGGCCACAGCATCAAAGCCAGGACAGGGGGGCTGAAGCTAGGAGGGTCAAGTGACTCAGTAAGAAGAAACTAAGACTCGAGAGGCATTGGTGTGGCTGTTGTGGGGGGGAAGGGGGAGGGCTGGAGGCCATGATTGGAGCCAGGAAGAAGAAGCACCAGAGACTGAGACTGGCATGGGGATAGTATCACTGGACTTCTGTTTAAGACAGAGGCAACCTCCCTAGATACTCTGTTACATCACGGTATGGCTGGTGAGTGTACAGGGGGAGAAGATCATAAGATGACCAAAGAATGCAGGATTAGCCCATGGGCAAAGAGCTGGAGTTCCATCCTCTACGTGAGTCCTGTCGTGTGAGGCCAGTGGAGCTCAACCTTTTAGAGCAGTGGACCACCACTTCCATCCAGTAGGAGAAATGAGCAAAGAGGGTTGGGGGAGAGGGGGAACTGCCAAAGTCACAAGGAGGGGGGAGGGGGAGGCTACTTCTAGTAATCAGCACCTATCAGAAGGGAGGGTAGGAGAAAGCAGGGAGGGCTGATGATCTGTCATGCCATGGGCTGGATCCAGTCACTTTGTGGACCAGATCCAACCCACAAGCTATTGGTTGTGTATCATTGCAAGTTGAGGATAGTAGGTATGATGCCACACTTCTAAATGTTGCATCCCTGCTTTGGTAAGAGAGCTAGTAGATGGAAATCAACTGAGCACCACTGCTGTTCAGGAATAAAATGTATGTTCTCTGCTGCTTTGTGCTAGCAGGCAGTTTGTGCTGTAATCTGCCCTTCTCCTGTTACCAGCTGCAGAACACCTGACAGAAAAGGAAGCTGAGGATCTCATGGCTTGGATGAGAAATGCATTGGGCTCAAGGATCACCAATGTTAAGGTGAGCATACAACAGGCAGATTGTTGTCTGAGAACATGAGAGGATGATTCTCTGATTAAAACATTAAGGTACAGCTAGGACTTGAAAGATGCGTGCTCAATTCCTGGCCTTCCATAGATTTCTTTTATTGCCTTGGATAAGTCATTGACTCCATGTGCCCCAGTTCCAGATCTGTGAAATAGATTTTTTTTGTCTAGTTGGACAGTAGGCATTTCAGGGCAGGGGACTGTTCCTTAGTACATTGTGTGGAATACCCAGCACCACCAGGGCTCGTAGGTGCTATGAAGCGGAAATGATAAAATTCCACCCCATTTCTCTTCTGCTAGAGCAAGCTGTAGCATGGACATGTCATGACGCAGGTGGTCATGTTCTTGGCCAGACCAGTGCAAGATCTGGGTAACCCTTTTGGCAATACCTCTGCATAGGTTCAGCTCTATTTTTCATTGTGCATCTGTTTTGGGCATTGCTGTCTTGACTTGGTGGTGTGTGTTGATTCAGATTATTTGGGCTCACTTGGGGTATTAGGGAACAATTAATGGATCAGTAGGCTTGTTGTTAGAACAGCCTGCTGAACTCCCATCTGTAAATAGTACAGTGAACTAATACAGTGCCTTTATCTTCTCAGCACTGTATGGACTTAGGAGCACTTCTGAACATGAAGCATAGCATCCCATCTGTATAAGGGGACAGAGCAGTTAAGTGCCAGCCTTGGAGCAGCAGGGGAATCAGTGCAGCACATAATACTTTGGGTTTTATCTACTGCCCATGAGCAAAGGCAGGTAAATTATGGCAGAGGCAGGATTAAACTCCAGTTTGTCCAAATTCCCAACCATATTCTCAGAACTCAGTTCACTCAAAATGGGGCTGTTCAGAACAAGGTTTTCCCATCCATGTTAGAGGGTTCCTGCACTGTGGGTGCTCTCTTATGTGGCTAAAAATACAGTCTCTGAGCTCTTTGTTCTCCCCACTGTCTTGGCTTTGTTCATTTAAATCTTGTTACTGTTTGCTCTTTCTTTGACAGGTGACTCCACGCCTAGACACCCACCCAGCTATGATCACCGTGCTTGAGATGGGGGCTGCTCGTCACTTTTTGCGTATGCAGCAGCTAGCCAAGACAAATGAGGAGCGTGCCCAGATCTTGCAGCCCACATTGGAGATAAATACAGGGTGAGGTGGGCCAGGGCCAGTGCCTAGAACTCCGGCTTTGCAGCTTGGGAGGGAAGACACTGAATAGTACAATGATCTTGAACCAGCTGGAGTCTCAAATTGCCTTATTTGGGCTGACATCGCACAGCCTTTGGAACTGTGCATATTAATAAATGCTGCCCTCTGGACATGTGTGTCCAGTACCTCAGGGATCTCTCTAGCAGTAACTAGCTGTATTATCCACAGTGGGCTGTATGGAGGGAGGGGGGAAGCCAATAGGAGAAGAGGGAAGAGAAGGGGAATTTCTTTTGATCATTAGGCATTTCTCTGTCCTGCCATGGTTGGTTATTCTTCCTGGGATATTTGGTTTTCTCAAATATCCAAGAGGTGCCCAGACTCAGTGCTGATCTCTTCCTCTGTTGCAGACACGCTTTGATCAAGAAACTCAATCAGCTGAGAGACAGTGAGCCTGATCTGGCCCAGCTGCTGATGGATCAGGTGAGAGATGGGTCTGCCCTAGAGACATGATCATGCTCCCCAAGACAGGATGTCATATCTGAGGGCTGTAAGGAGCCAGGATCACACCTGCATTGTTCGCCTTTCTAGTCATATTTGGTCAGAGGTGGACAAGGTCCTTTTTTCTTAGTGTGGTGGTACCTTTCAGGTACTCTTATCCTATTGCATTTGTGTTTGATGCAGACCTGAAGGTTTTTCTATTCACACTGTGAAGTTTAAGCAGCTGGGGGAGAAAAACGAAGGGACAAAGCAGAGAATTCAGTCTTGCTCACTGCAAGAATCTGAAGTTTAAGGTAACTTCCCAGAAATGGGAAGAGGATATATAAATCTGCGTGAAACCAGTAAGAACTCCAAAGGGCTCTTGTTGGGAGTTGATTTTCACCGTGCCATGGAGTGCTGGAGCGACCCTGTAGTCTGCACCTCACCCTAACTTATGATCCTTAGAGGTATGTTCTATCTCCTCCAGACCCACTGTGCACATGCCATGGTCCTCAGTGCAGGAGCAACATTTTTTCCATGTCGTACCCAGGTTGCTCCTGCTGCTAATCAAGTTTTCTTGTCTTCTTCAGATTTACGAGAATGCCATGATAGCAGCGGGACTGAATGATGATCCCAGACCTATGGTGAGCCGTCTGAATGAGCTCCTCACAAAAGTACTTGAAAAGCATTGAGCTCAACTTAATACAAAGATCAAAATCAGGTGTGGTCCCTCCAGTTCTTCAAGCAAAACTACTTTAATCAACTCTTGCAACATCTGTCTGCTTGCAGGCACTGTGGTATGAAATGTAGAATTCTCTGCAGCTCTGAGGGACATCCTGCAGGGTTTCCCCATGTGACACTATGGGTTGGTTACAGTTATTTTTGCCAAATTGTGACATTTCTCACTTGAGCCCAGATTCTAACATTGTATGGATTCTAGGGTTGGCCTTTCCAAGCAATTGGCATCAAGAGTCCAAAAGAGTTCAAGGTATTATGACCCCATGCACCCAATCTTTGTATACCAGTCAGCTTAGCTTACAGTGCCAACTTCAGCGCTAAATAAACTCAGTGCTCGTTCAAGAAATCTCCACCTCTGCCTGGCACTAAGAGGGTTACCAGGCACAGAAAGCAACCCTTGCCATGAGCATTTATAGGTGCTTCTGTTAGACTGGCAGCAGATCCACTTATAGATGGGTCATGAAGGGGTGGGGGAGATGCTAATCAAGGAGGTGATTAAAGAAGGAAGGTGAGCATTCAGCTATCAACCCCATTATTTTTGTTTTTAAGATTCTAGGAGCTAGACATTTTTTGTGGTGGCCATACAACAGAAAGCATCTAATTAATAGAAAAGCCATTATGGTTTTCCATGCTTGTTTCTCAGTTAGATGAGGAATAACTTGCTCAGTTTAAGATTTCTTTCTGACTGGCAACCCTGTAAATTGAGTGTGGACTCTGAATTACCCAAGGCCATTTCTGGTTTGTCTGTACATCACTGTATTCTATAAGTAGTACTTGCTGTCCTGCATGCCAGAAAATTGCAGCTCTTTTTAATTACTGATTGTCATTAAATGCTGTCTCCTATGAACTGAACCGTGGCTGCATAATTGCTAATATATTTGTCTTAAAAAAAAAAAAAAAAAAAAAAAAAAAAAAAAAGAAAAAAGTCAAATAGACTTATCCAGGCATTCTACCATCAAAATCAGGACCAATAGGTAGGAATGAAGATTCATTACCAGATGCTACACATATGCATCTAGACCTCATTAAATGTTTCATGATAAAATATTATTGGAGAAATGTCTGTGGTGCTAGATTGTGTTGTAATGCATCACTTCTAAGTTTGTGGCAGTTTGAGTTTTTTTGGAAATAGACTGACTGTGGAAAATATTGTTGAATTTTTGATAGTAAGAGTTCTGTACAGATACACCAGATGTAGTGTATTTATATGCATACCATATGCACCTTGCACCCCAAAAGTCAGCCATCCAAAATTGGGATATGTATTTTAAGTGACAGAGTTGATTTCTTCACTGGAATTGAGGCATGGAGGCTCTACAATGGCTGATGGAGATTGTGCTTCCTTCCTGGGTGCATGCAAAAGAGGCAGAGTCCAATTCTCAACATAGCTCACCTAAAAACTGAAGCTCCAAAACTAAAGCTTTAATCGTGTGACAGCTGTTGCTACTACCTCTCCTACATACAGCTGGAAACATTCAGCCATGGTGAACCTATGCTGTGGCAGGACTCAGGAAAAATCTTTGTTTTCATTGTCTTCCCAAAACAAGATGCACATCTTACTTGGAGGTATGTGGTATGTGAGAAAATACAGTATTATCCTGCAGGCTTGTTATCCAGAGCTTGCTAACAGTGGTATCTTTTCATTTGGGGTGTGCCAAAGTGGGGCTCCCTGCCTACCCACAGTGCTAGGTTCCCCACTTGCCTTTGGGCATGCCACCCACCTGACTCGCCTGCCATGCCTTGTTCTTAATTTAATTAAGATGTTAATTAAGGCGGGAAGCTGCCCATTCGTGCCCCAATGCCAGGGGGCACTATCTGTGCTCTGTACCTCCCCTACACCACAGCCCATGCCTTGCAGATGGCATCCACAGATGTTACTCACACCATCCCCATCTGGGCCCCAGAATCTACCAATCAGGACCCCTCTAAGATCCCTCCATTCAGGCAGCCTACCCTGCCCTCATTCAGGTAACCTAACTCCCTGAAACTATTTCCCGTCTCGGGCATGGTCCCCCCCAGTACCTTTGGCCACACAGGCCCTGGCCTCACCTCCAAGGCCAGTCAGGACCCCAGGCCCTCAGCTCTGGGTGCCCCTCACAGTGGGCCCCTGGCCCTTTTGACCGGTCTGGTCCTGGCCGTAGCATTGACCAGTCGAAGGTAAACTACATGAGGCCTCTGAGCCTCTAGCCCCACTCTCTCTGTGGGGTCTGCCCTCTGGACTGGACCCTACTAGCAGGTGACCTACCTGGTTGTGGGAGCTGGGGTTAAGGTGCCCCAACCCGCCTTTCACCGGGGTAGTAAGTGGCCTGGCATTTCCTGGGAGCTCCACCAGGCCACCCACTCCCAGCAGGGTGCAGTTTTAGGTCCTGCCCAGGACCAGGAGCCTCCTAGCCATCCCCTACAGCTCCTCCCTTACCTCCAGATTGTTCCATGAAGACTTGCAGCCAAGCCATCTGTTTTTATATAGGTAGCCAGGGATCTAAAACGGCTGCCGCAATCAAGCACCTGCTGGTTGCTTGGCTCAGGTCTTAAAGTGGCAAGCACCAGCAGTGCCCTGCCACATGGGGTTAGAGAGAGAGTAGAAGAGAATCCTGGGTGATCTAAAGCTTTGTCTGTAATACGTAACATGTTTGTAACAGACCTAGATTCCAGGATTCATGGTGGTGTCTCCTATCTAGTGCCTGCTCCCCTCAGGACTCGTGGTCACTCCTTTGTCTGCTCTTTCCTGCCATGACTTGGTATTTTTTCAATCCAGGAGAACAGGAGGCTGCCCTGTCTCCTGGATGATTGCTGTCTTGTTGCCAATTAGTGTACTGGCAACGTGGGACCTTAGGGGTTTGTTTCATGACTCCAACCTCCCTTCAAACCACGCCCATGCCTTGTAGGTGTTGCTGATTAATGTCCTATGCATTTTTGGCCCATAGTCTCCATCTCAATCTGTTAATCAGTTGATCTATCTAGCAGGCCCATGATTCCAGTCCTATATCCAGCTGTTATCTGGATTCTGCACCTTAAGAGCCCCTGAATTCTTAGTCTGTAAAGGGAATCAGCCTCAGCCTCCCACACCTCAACCGGCTGTTTTGGCTGAATTAGAAAGTAGGCTTCTGCTTCCACCCAGGTGTGCTCCCTGGGGTTCTCCACCTCCTGACCCCCAGATCCCTGAGCACCCCAAATTGGGACATCCTTCCCTTGCTAGGTCCTCCACATTTAACTCCAGTGAAAAGCATATGCTCTTCAGCTACAACATAAACTCTCAATTTACCAGCTGACTACCATGCTTCTTCTTGCCTGCGGTCCTACTCTCTCTACCGCCAAGGCTTCAACTTCTCCCAGGCCTTCCAGCTTGCCTGTAGCCAGGCTCCCCTCACCACCTGTCTTGTAGCAGTGCTCCTTCCCCTTTCAGCATCCCAGGCCAGAGTGAGTACTGGGCTCATGCCTTGGCTTGTATCTTATTCCAGCCCTGCCCCTCTCCAGTCAGGTGACTGGCTAGCCCTTGCCCTGTTGGTCTCCCTGGCAACTTGCACCTGTGGCTTCAGCAGAGTCCTTATAGTCCATAGCAGGGCTCTGCCCTATTGCTCTTCTTCAGAGTAAGTAGTTCTGCCCTTGGCCCTCTTATCCAGAGCTTCCCTGTATCTACGTCCTACCCTGGTCCTGCCCTTGTTAGTGTTCTACCAAAGACTGTGCCCTTTCCTGGAAGGGGCATGAATTTTGTCTCCATAGGTCTTTAATCTTAGGGCATCAAGGATCCCTTTAATGTCCTGAATTTTGCTTTAAAAGGGGATTGAGCCAGCATATCTTTAGCTCGGATGAAAACCTCTCTCTAGCCACTGTGTTGTCAGTGTAAGAAGCATCAGTAGGCACTGTCCCTGAGGACATGGACAGATGTGAATTTCAGGTGATCCAAGTCCTGCTCTGATTTGGAGCACTTCACATTTGGTGCACTTCAGTTCTGTGTAGACATGCTGCTGCCACTCCCACCCTGGAGCATTTCAAAATGGCTGCAAAAGAAGAGCAGGAATCCCTGCAAGCTTCTCAGCTTCTGGAGGTTCCCAAGGACAGTGAAAAACACAGGCGAGTACTTGTAGGCTGTCTGCTGCCATCTTCCTCATCCCTCTCTCCTCACTGCCAGGAAGAACACTGGGGGGGAAGCAAAGTGCTGGAGATACCAGAGGACTGAGCCACTCATTGTTGCTCCCTGCTTGAGGGTGTACCTATGTTTTTTTTATTAAGGGTCATTTTCTGAAGTGTTTCTTTGGCTTTGAATATCTGCACACTCACTGGAGTGCTTCAGGCAGCACATCTGCTCATGCAGGATGCAGATGCTGTATTTGTGATCAAGGCTGTATGTCTCTCACTCTAAGCTGCATCACCGCAGTACTCATTTGATTCCCTGTTTTTGACTCATTCCACATTGTTTATGCACAGAGATGTCATACCAGAGATTTGATGAAGCTAAGCACTGACTGCACATGCAGGTAGCAGCAGTGATATAATGAGAACAATGTTGTGAGATATGAGAAAATGGAAATGATCTGTCAGCAGGATCTCACACAATAAGGGACAAACCTACTTTGAATTTGCAAAGTCAAAGGAAAAGCTGAGCATGAAGAGGCAAGGACTTGCGGAGACAATCAAGCTTAGTGAAATTTTAACATGCGACTTGCCATACAGAGCAGGGGTGGTGATATGAGGTAGCAGGATTAGATTGATAAATACTGTTGACCCCTGCTCAATGCCAGGGATACATGAGGTTTTCTTGTCAGCCAGTTTTGACTTGAAGATATCTCTGAAGAGCACAACAGAGGCACTTTTGCTTACAAAAGTAATGGTAAAGGATGAGCTGCTCCAAATGTAGGGATACAAGAGAAACATGTGAGCTGGATATGGCTTCTCTTTCACTACACATTGAAGCAAATCACAAGAACACGGAGACTTTTCATGAAACATGGATACTGCAGCATAATTTCACTACTAGGAGTGGCAAACCTGAGATGAAGATTGCTCTGTTCATCTAATCCCCACTGCCTTTCCACTCAGAAATACTAAATTATTTGTCCTTCTTAAGCTTTTGCATCAATAAACACTCTTCATCCCAACATCTACTGCTAGTCTTTGCAAGTAAAACAGAAAGTGTCTGATTCCTCTAGCAAGCCAGGCAAAAGCCGAACCTCCCAAGAGTGCTTAACATACTGCTGTAGTGGTATGAAGTTCTGTGCATAGACCCATCAGTTGATCCTTCTGTGTCTGTTGCTTTCAATATTAATTGTACTTCCATGCTAGATTTCAGTGGGATCCAAGTGGGATAATACTGAGGATTTCTGATCCCACTGAGGCTGCTTCTGTGTTTTGATTCATAGTAACAAACAAGATGAAGGCCTTGTCTATGCATGAAGACTGAGGTGTATTGGGTCCCCCCCCCCTTTTTAGCTTAGGTAAACTCCTGCAGCCTTTGTATGTGGATATTTTGTTGGACTGAAACTTGCATGTTTTTAGCTTGTACTCTAGGCTAAACTCACTGGTGTAGAAAGCTCTAAGTCAGGGGTGTCAAACGTATGGTCCATGGGCCAGATCTGCCCTGCAGAGCCCCACCATCTAGTCCTTGGTGCTGTTCCTGGGTCTGAGCAAATCCATGCAGGGCATGGTATAGGGCCTGTCTGTGGGCCACATTGGGCCTGCAGATCTCCTCCCCTTATTCTTTCCTCAGCATGCTCATCTGGGGGCTGTTTCAGACAGTCTGAGACATGTGCTACATGGGGCATGGATCTTTGAGTGGCTGGAATGGCTGCCGCATGTGGTGCAGTCCGGCCAGCAGCATATAGTGCAATGCCCATGTGCAGCCACCTGACTGGGGCAGGCACAGCATGCAGACTAGCACCTGCTCTAGCCTGTTTGGGACCTGCACTATATGCCTCCAGCCAGACTGCACTATATGTGGCGCCTATTCCAGCCACTCTGGGATCTGTGCTGCATGCAGCACAGGTCCTAAAGTGACTGGAGCAGCCACTGGATTCAGTATGTTGGGGGAAGGTGAGGGGCCAGACTAGGCCCACAGAACCCCACGGACCAGCCCTGTACCATTCATCCAGAATGTGGGGCTGGATGAGTTTGACAACCCTGCTCTAAGTGTTCCTGCAGCTCATACAGGTAAT